AAATGTAAATATACATTGTCGCTTTAAGAAAATATTGTTGTCTTTGTTTTTCAGGACTCATTCAGATGCTGAGGGCATTTCCCTTTGGATCTGGCTACATAAACAAGACAGTCAGCATTTGTAGAGATGCAAACCTTTGATCAGTAGATCACTGTACTCACTGAAGGACCAGATGGTGTTGCTGTCTCTTATAAGAATCATGAGAAATGGCAGCAGAAATTGAAGCACGGTAACCTATTGTGATGAACTGTGATTTCATGTGTCGTCCCTATACTTGAACATCAGATTCTTGAGGTCAACTCACCATGGAGACAGAACTAGGAGCTGGACTGTCCGCAGCTGCCATAGTGGCCATTGTGTGTAACTCAATAGTAGCTGTGCTTATTCTCATTCTCTTTGTCATACTCTACAAGGCCTGCAAAATTCCCTCCTCTCTGGAGAGGGCCCCAGTGCTGGCAGAGACTCAAGAGCCACAGAGAACTGAACAAAAATACTTATTAACTGCAGCTTGAAATTTTAAAAAATGTGAATATATTCACAGGGGCTTGAGGAATATTTTAATAGTCACCCTTGATGATGGCCCTGTGTAAATGTGAAATGAACATGCAACATACAAGTTCTTACATGAATTTTTGGAAAACAACGGCATTGGCAGGACTAGGAAATTTACCTATTTAAAAAAAGAAAAAGAAAACAGGATCACAGAAATATCCAGTTAAAACACATTTAGTTGCCTGTGAGGACAGAATGTTTGTTCAGCATTAAAAGTTGTCCATGAAACATCTAAAATGTTTGATTCACTTTTTACATCTTTTGCATTTTTAATTGTTAGAATTCTCTTACCTGACTCTATGGCAAATCTGTGATTAATCACGCTATTGTCATTTGGTGCTAGACTCAAATGTTTTTATTAATGCAGAGCCTGTGTTGAGATGAATGCAATGCATCTCACTATTTTAACATTTTATACTAATATAAAATAAATAGGAAAAAAATAGATACTAATTCGTAATATATTTTTGTGTGTGTTTGAGTTTTGAATTATTACCAGAGTTGGCTGGGTAACAAGGATGAAACAAAGTTATAGATCATGCACATTGAAATAAATGGATGATTTATGAGCTATATTAAAAATGAAGTTCATTTAGCACCAACTTTTCTTTATATAGATGTTTTGTGTGTGTTTCAGTGTATCTTGCACTAGTCTTGCACTTGTGTGTTTGTTGGTGATTTGCAACTGGAGGATCATTACGTAAAGACAACAAAGCTTCTTATCCATTTTACTGTGCTTGGACACAGTCCATCTGTTAGTCTATTTATTGCTCTTCATTGGACATCTAGTCACTTTTTGCTGGTCTTGGATCGGTGCCCTGTTCTCTTGCCCAACCTTAACTAACAAAAAGTTCAATTTTTTTTTCCAGCAAAGGGCCATGTGTACTGCTGATCTCCAGTTCAAGTTATATCTCTCATCAAAAATACATAATTGACCAAGCAAACAAGGAAATGTTTGTGCGAAGAAATTTTGTATTGTGTGAAGAAATAGAGCAGCAAAAGTAGGAGATGTGAGGAAAGGGAAAATAAAAATATTAAAGTGTAATTTGAGCATGTTTACTGTATGTTGCCTGAAACCCCACACGGCATCAATACTGAGAACTGACATTGGGTTTACGCTATTGTTTATAGGTCAGTACGGTGAAAATAATGAACTGTACAAACAGGTTTCGGCATGCAGGTGTCAAGGAAGGTTTTCTATCTGCTATAACTCTGCAGCATTACATCTCAGTCCTGATAGGATTATGAGACACTTCAGGAGGGCATAAGTGCCATGTGAAAGGTTACTGGTAATTTACCATGATTATAACAAGTACGGCACACCAAGTGGTTTTTACTCTATCATAATGTCAGAATAAAAATGCTTCTCAGCTTAGCAGTGGGGCAATACCCTTAAAAGTGTTCTTTTGTGTTTTATCTATTAATATTAATATGCACTTTTAAGAGGTATCAAATAGTGTCCATTTAACTGAAAAAGATTTGTCTATAGACATAATGTCAAATATTGTCTGTTAAGATCTACATAGTGTTAGTCAGCAACAGCCTATCTATGCTAAGTGATAATCAAAAGTTACCAAATGGTTTTTGATATCAAGATTTTTGCCTTTGGAAATCTTCACTGTAAATAGTTCGACATGACTGCAGCTTCTATATATAAGTACAAGCATAAATGCTATCATTTAAAAGCAAACTTGAATGTTGCAACTAATGTAATATGTAATGTAGAATAACTGTTCATTACAATGCATTACAATATTTGCAATACAAATTTACTTCACAAGTCATTTGACTGGACCCTCAGAAATAGACATATAATAAATTTTAAAGGGGTCATATGATGCGATTTCAATTTTTCCTTTCTCTTTGAAGTGTTACAAGCTCTTGGTGCATAAAGAAGATCTGTAAAGTTGCAAAGACTAAAGTCTCAAATCCAAAGAGATATTCTTTATAAAAGTTACAAAAACGGCTAGTTCTAACACGCCCCCACATGTCTACATCATGATGTGGGAAGATTTGCATAACGCCGCCCAAATGTTCACGCAAAGAAAGAAGGCTTATCTTTTATTCTCGCTGTAGTATTGTTGCTGCCGCCATGTCCTGAACAGTGTTGGGCAGTAACGCATTACTTAGTAACTCGTTACTGTAATTTGATTACTTTTTAGTAACGGAGTAATTTAACGCGCTATAACTTTCAAAATAGTAATTAGAGTATAGTTACAAGCCGAGGTGTCTATATGTTACTGCCGCGTTACATTGCTGACAGAATGCAGTTTTATAATCTGGAGACTGTAAAATAGATGTAGCACACGCACTGTGGAGTCAAGTGCCAGTGGATTAGAGACCTGCTCTCCCGCTAGACCCTTTAGAAATATCTAAACATAAAATATCTAAAACAAATAAATTGTTATTCATCTATTGCACAAAAAGCTACATGAACTAATATAAAATATAAACGATTAACGTGCAAGCGTATGCAGAGTTTCTGTTCTTTTTAGCAACATCATATGACCCCTTTAATATAATCAAAACTACACAATTTATTTTTGTTATGATTTCAACATGAAATGGAGTTGTTTTCTAACTGCAATTTGTCCTTCTTTTTTGTTGTAACAGAATCTGATTATTTTTGTGATTTGTTTGAGGGAAAAGACTGCAGTAATGACACATAGTAGCTTCAGAACTGTTTTGCCCTGAGGTGGAGTACAGAAAACAAAGTGAAGAATTACATAACAGCATTATGGCCACTGGAATAAAATCCAGATTACTAATAAACTGTAATCTGCATTCCCATCTGTGAGGATGTCATGGTTGCATAACCTATATGTTTTGCTGAGGATGAGTGACACAAACATAGATTCCCCTTTGAATTAGATAGTCTTTTTGTGTCCATTTACATGTATGAAAGCAAGCATCTATGTGTTTATTTGTACATCTGACTGCAAAAGGTACATAGCTATGATTGAAGCAAACACTCAGGCTGAGATTTTTTCATACAGAGAGTCTTATCACAGGTGTTCATATGGGGTTTCACATGGACTATTAGTATGGGTAACCTCCTAACCCCTTAGAGATGTTCTCAAAGAGATTATAAAATCGGAATATGAACTTTCACAATAGCAACCATTACTCATTTTCTTTTTCCAGTATTATGTGTAATGTTCTTATCTCAGTTATTGCATAATTTCCCCAACTTATAATATTTCTACAGCTAGCTCAACAATTGCAATCAATTATGTCATTTTGTATACTCAATAACCATCAGGGAATTCCTGTTCTGGGAATAGTCACATTTATTATAATTTTAATTTAGCCGATCTAAGCAATGCCTCTATTATTATATTAAACTGAAATATGAAACATTTGATAACTCTGTTTTTATATTCAGGAATGCATTTAAAACATACATTTAATTCTTCTGCACGAAGATGCAACATTTATTGTAATTTTGACCTTACATGACTCAATGTTAGTCACTAACATTTCAATATATAATGCTCAGAGTCCGACATTAATGCCAAAGCAGAATGATCCTTTTCTTATAGCTCATAACCTTTGCCAGGTTGTTAATGTGACTAATTTCTGAAATAACCTTCAGAAAGATTATGTTTTTTTAATGCTTTGTTGCTTAGCGCCATCTACTGGCCAACACGTTTCCACTACTATAGGCAAGAATATAATGGGAAAATACTAACAGTTCAGCATTAAAATAGAAAAGAATATAAAGAATGCAGTTTATGGACTCTTTTATTTTGTGCTAGGTTTGTTAACATTTAGATTGATTTAATTTATAGACAGTGCTCAATTAAAAGAAGCCAGTTGAGATTAAAAAAAAATGTATGGTTAGAAAAAGAGAAAAAAAATAATTAATTTGGGAGTGTCTTTGTCATTGGAAATTTTTATGTACCTTGTTCTGAGAAAAAATAAAGAGGAGAACGAACCCAGTCTAAGCAAGGTAGCGTCCTGACCTGAGAAACCTAGGGGGTTTAAACAGGGCAGGACAACATAAAATTTCCACAAAAAACAAACAAACAAACAAAAAAAACGTCAAATATTAGACTAGCCAACATTGCCTATTTATATTCCAACATTGACTATTTTACAGCTTGCTCCCATACAAGCAGTTTTATTAAGGTTACTGTCCAGACGCTGTCCAAGGTCCTGAAGTCATTTGCGCTGTGCTTGGTATTGGACAGGTGCATAAAGCACGGCCCACCTCGTTCAACCCTGTAAACTCGCAAATGGAGAAAATGTTAATCAAATCCCGTAAATAAGGGACCAACATCTTTGTTTGCGTTCATTAGATTCCAATCCCTATCCGCCATCCCTGATCACAGGTTCGACATGGACTGCAAAACAACGTCCAACACAAAATCTTGCCATCTCGAGGTTATATAGTACACACACACAGATAACCCTGCACGATGTCTGTGTCTAATGCTAGTCTTGGGTGGAGCAGGCATCGCTCGATGGCGTTGAGTGGGGCGGGATCCGTGGTGCTGCTCGCGTCTCGAGACTCGTTTCTCCCGGAAGTGGGTGGTTAAGTCGCCACTCGGTCACTGCTGGCTAACTAGCGATCGCTGGGATGAAGGAGAATCGGGGACATTCTTGGGGCTGACACATATCCGACAGTTGTGAAATTTCAGTTTTAACCAATTTGTTGCGGTATATCCGCAGAAATCCACCACAAACGCTCACAAAAAGGCTCAGACACCCCGCCGCCAAGATGATGGAAGAAATTGACAGATTTCAAGTGCCGACTGAGGCAGAGATGCAGCCTTTTGTAAGTTAAACCAGATTGACTCTTTAACAACCGATTAAAGCACAAATGTTGTCAGTATGCGGTTTTAATAACGTTTTGATGAGCGATTGGTAGCTCAATATGAACAAACGACGCATGGTGTATTTCATTAGTCTCGTGTTGTCATCATAGACCGTTATTTTTTTTTTATAAAAATGGCAAGTATCTTATATTACGAGATCTGTGATGTCGCTTCTATGTCTGATATGCATTTTGCTAGCTAATGTAAGGATGCTAACGTTACTATGATGCTGCGCACTGAGACTGTGTGTCTCCCTGCATCGAAAACAACATCTGCTTCATTTTATTTTATAACTTCAGCTCAACTTGTTCTTATAGCTCTTCGTACTTCCATCGTAACGCAGTTTGTAACGTTCATTTGAAATAACGTTAATATTGTGTGTTTCGTCAATCTAGTAGAGGCCTTTATCGCCGTAGATTGCTTCATCATGCAGAATACGTGCTAAGGTACCTGAATGTCCATACCCCTCCCACCCATGACAAATTCATCAATAATTCTTAGGAAAACCAGCTCTGTTCGAAGAGACATCTTGATGGCCCACATTTAACCCATGACCCGTACGTACAGCAGATGTTAGTGTACCTTTGGGTTCGTTCTAGATCAGTGGTTCTCATCTGTTATTGCTTCAGGACCCAGATTTTACATGGGTCATCAAGTGGACCCAACAGGATACCCGAACTGTTTATAATACAGTTGTACAAAATTGTCCTTCAGATCAGGAAGGGGAAATTATTCATATTAACTGCATAAGTCTAATAAATATGCATAAGTATTAATGTGACAGACTGAACAGAACAATTGACAATATTATCAATTGACTAAATGTCTGTTCAAATTCAATCGTTTACGCTTTCTGTATTCACCACACAAAATAAATTATGGTTGGGAAAAAAAATGTTTTCAAGTTGGAGTATGCAGATTTTTACTTACCTGTTGAGAAGTAACTCTGCAAGTTCAGCGTCTCGATTGCAACTCAAACATAGTATCAAATTCCTCATTCTCATAAAAGAACCACGAGTGTTTACCGTTGTTTTTCCCCTTTGTCTTTGTATTTTGGCTTGCACTTTCTGTAACCGAATCTTAAAGGGGTCATATGATGCGATTTCAATTTTTCCTTTCTCTTTGGAGTGTTACAAGCACTTGGTGCATAAAGAAGATCTGTAAAGTTGCAAAGACTAAAGTCTCAAATCCAAAGAGATATTCTTTATAAAAGTTCAGAGTCAGCCAAACCTACCTAAAACGGCTCGTTCTAACACGCCCCCACATGTCTATATCACTATGTGGGAAGATTTGCATAACGCCGCCCAAATGTTCACGCAAAGAAAGAAGGCGTAACTTTTATTCTCGCTGTAGTATTGTTGTTGCCGCCGCCATGTCGTGAAGGCGCTGTGTTTCGTTGTGAAAGCGAAACTACTTTGTTTGGCCTTCCAAAAGAGGACGATATCTGCTTCGTCATGCCTGGAGCTGATCCGTGCTGGTTGCCGAGGAAATACAACAACTTCGCGCTGTGGATCACCGGATTGGCTTTCACCGTGGACGAAGCGGAGTCCAGCCCGGGGTCGTCACATGTGGTTTCCGCAAGCCCTCCGGACGTTCCTTCATCGAATCCGCCGGCCGCGCCTTTCTTAAGCCCGCCGCCTCTGCTCACTCTAGCCCTCCGGCCGTTCCTCACTCTAGCCCCCGGACACTATTCCAGTATATATAATACTATTCCACTATATATAATGGGCTTTCATGTTTTTGAATCATCGCTCCGGCCTGACAGGGCGTCATCACAGTATGGTAGGGGCGTAACATTTCCATCACACGCTTGAGGTATTCAGCCAATCATAACGCACTAGATAGCTGGCCAATCACAGCACACCTCGCTTTTCAGACCGATGAGCTTTGTAAAAATCGACGCTTTTCAGAAAGGCGGGGCATAGAGGAGAAACAATAATGTACAGTATGTGGAAAATAATGTGTTTTTTGAACCTTAAACTGCATAAACACATTTCATTACACCAAATACACAAAATAATGTTCTTTTTAGCAACATCATATGACCCCCTTAATATCTTAACACACACATGGCGTCAGTCATCATGGTCTCACACCGGCTAACCCCCCCCCACACACACACACAGTAGTTACGCCCCAAACTCCTGCTATTGGTTGAGTTTTTTTGAGCAATTTTTACACTTTTTTTTGACGCTAAACCCATGAATGAACAATACACTGGTTTAACAAAATTTAGTTTGATTAGGGGTGTGAAATAATGGCAAAAAAATTATATCTCGATATTTTCTGGAATTTTGTCGATAACAATAATTAGACAATATTTTGCTGAGTGTGCTATTGTGCTGGTAATGGCACCCTGAACCCTCGCGGTCTTCCTCTGAGTCCACACTTTCGTGACGTAATGCCGCTTTGACTGTCGGGTAGAAGTCTGCTGCGGAGCTTGCCCCAGTGCGGGCTCGGCAGAAGTGCGGATCGAGGGCGCTCGCAAGCACCCTTCTGAACGCTAAAATGACAAATGGGACACCCTACGGTCTCGTGGACTTAACGGACACGCGCACGCGGCGGCCATTGTAAGTCCATAAGATTGCAAGTGCACATAAAGTGTTCCATTTGGGACAGGGCCTTTGACAGGTTTAGGACTGTCGTGGACAGCTGACTTCTAAAGATTTTGATATTCTTCATATGCTGTGCGGTGGTTAATTTGCAGGAGTAACAGAAATGTACTTTTCCAATAAGTTTAAATTGATTTTTACATTTTATGGGCATTTTTAACTTTTTACCTTTTCTAAAAGTGTCCATTATCTTTTGAGTCAAATTCTTACATTTAATCAGGGAATTGGAATAATAAGACATTTGGGCTGTTACCAAGCAAATGAAATCAACACAGAAGCTGCATCTGAAGTGGCATTTAGATGT